CAAGGACAAGTTAAAGGTTTGACAGTTTCGCTACACAATGTCGACAATATATTAAAATTCGCGCAGTAGGAGGTTGGCGCAGTAGCTACTAGTTGGTGCGCCAAACGCTTTGTGGTAGCTATACTAAAGATAAAGCGTGCCTTCAAAATACCTACAAGAACTAAGACATTTATTATATGGTTCTCATTTGCCTAATACAATAACATTTAGCTCGACGCGAATTTTAACCAGTATCATATTTCATAATATAATGAACAATGTAAACTAGCCACTTCTTTTCACCTACGAAATGTCGACAATATACCTTAATACATGTATTAAAATTCGCGCAGTAGCTACCAGAGTGCGAGCAAGTAGTAAAGATAAAGCTTGCATTCAAAATACCAAGACATTTATTGCATGGTTCTCATTTGCCTAATACAATAACATTTAGTTCACAATATAATATAAACAAGGAAAAGTCGTTCGATTTGGCTATACTGTCAGTGCTCATTTTGAATGTATATTGATCGATTTCAATAATCGATTTACATATCAGTCTGCTCGATTCGAGTAAGTGTTGCCCGATTTGTATCATTGGTGATTTGGTGTTCGACTTATAACTATTGGACCTATTGAATTTTGACAGTAAAAACGCGCCATATATAATACATGTATTAAAATTCGAGCAGTAGCTACAAGAATTGGCGCAAGTAAAGATAAAGCGTGCGTTCAAAATACCACTGGCAATGAACAAGAACTAAGACATTTGTTACGAAATCTGCTACAAAATGGCGACAATATAGCATACAGTGTTGGATTTTTCTCATGTGTATAATGTAGATTTATAATGTAGATTTATAATGTAGATTTATGATTTATAATGATTTATAATTTTTAATGATTTATAATGTAGATTTAATTTATAATGTAGATTTGTATTTTATAATGTAGATTTATAATGTAGATTTTTTTTTTTCTCATGTGTATAATGTAGATTTAATGTAGATTTAATGTAGATTTTTGTATAATGTAGATTTTTCTCATGTGTATAATGTAGATTTTTCTCATGTGTATAATTTTTCTCATGTGTATAATGTGTATAATGTGTATAATGAATTTTAATACACATGTATTAAAATTCATGCAGTAGCTACTAGAATTCGCACAGCGCTGGGTGCACAAAA